CCCCCAAAACCCCAAAACCCCAAAACCCCAGATTTTACTAGAATAATTGAATGTTTAGGTGGAAGATAGGTGGGATAGGAATTGGGGTTTAGGGGAGGAGGAAGAGGGGTTTTGGGGGTTGGGGTGAGGTGAATGGGGGTGATAGTGGGTTTGGGAATGGAGGTTTTGGTGGGGTTAGAGGCGGGGTTTGGGCAGGAATGAGTGTTTATGAATTATTTGGGTATGTCTTGTTAGGATCTTTTTTGCGTTATGCTTATTTTTTCCTCATTGCTCTTATGCAGTTTTCTAACAAATTCACTTCTCAGATCCCGCTCTACCTTATCCTCTAAATTCTAGTCCCCAATACAGTAACTGCATGACTCTGTCCCTGCACTCCCATCCCTCTATATTCAAACCTCACTCCTTCAACTATTCTTCTTATAAAATCCATCTGCACTGATAATCTCCCACAAGACTTCATCCAGTCCCTAAATTAGTAAGCTTGGCTCCACATCTGGATATTTATATGCCCAAGGTTGTAGGTCTGCACCATCTCTTGGGCCGTGTTCTCATGACCCCTGATAGGGTACACTCAAACTGTTTCTAAAGAAGACCTTAGGGTACATCTAGAGATCGATGCGAAGATCCGTTCAAACTTTTTCAGAAGAATCGGCCTCTCAGACTCGGTTCACTGGAAGAACCGTAGATCTTTTAGTCAGAAGTCTATGGCAGGTGATGTCTTGGAGAGATCAAGCCCTTCAGTAGAGATCTTTCAAAAGTTAAATTTTAGGTCTCTGATTTTGTGTGTAATTATTAAAATTCGTTCAAACTGCTTTCTTGAGATTTTGAAGCCAAGTATATGGATTAGGTGAGTGACTTTAGACATTAATGGACTAAATATATTGAACTTGATGAGATGAGAGTTGTTAATCAGGTATTCACAAATCACTAGATGAGCTATCTCCCTCACCATCTTATTTAGTAGTTGAAGTTTTGGAATATCCTTCTTTCTACTCATGACATGCCAATCGATTAGATTTGCTTTTGAATAATCCTTAATTGAAACTTTTGTCTCAAGTTTTGACACAGAGTTAAAAATGACCATTGAGTTGTCATTTCAAATATCTGCTTCAAAGCGCCAAGAGTAGTTATTGTAAATCCTATACTGCATGAGCTACATTAGATACCTTCTTAACCAAAATTGCATAGTTTCCTCAAGAATTTGTAGCTGCTCCATTCTGTTACAAAAGATATATATTTATAAGTCAGCATTTATTTTTTAGTTGGGGTTTTGGGGTTTTGGGGTTTTGGGG